TTATCAATTTCTACAAAAGCACAGAAACAAACAAAACTCCTTGTGCTTTCTTGTGAATTAAGCAATGATTTTTAAAAACTAAAAACATACAAATTTAGTGGAGAGACCAAGATGGTGACATAGGTGTCTCCTATACTTCCCTCCTCCCAGACACACACACAGCAATTTCCTCTGAGAGAAATCCAGAAACCAACTGAGTAATGCCTACAGATCAGGAAAATAGGAAAATAGCCCTGTCACCTTAAGATTCACCCCTGGAATTCCAGCATATAATCAAGAGAGCACCTTAATTCCCAGCTTCTCCCTGAACAGCGAAAGGTGTGGAGCACATGTCTAGCATTCCAACTTTTCAGACTCCCACCTGAGGGTCGGGCCTGCAAAAGCTCCAGCTCTGAGAGCAGCAGGACTTCAGATTTTTTAGCAGAGACTTTGCAGACCAGAAGAGACTAGGATGATACATTCAAAGTGCTGAAAGAAAAAAAAACACTGCAAACCAAGAATACTCTTCCTACAAAAGTTGTCCTTCAGAACTGAAGAAGAGATAAAGAATTTTCCAAACAAAAGCCAAAGGAATTCATAACTTCAATAATTTGTAAAACTAAATGAATCCAGAAGTCAGGTTAGTAATTACCTTTGGAAAGAGTGAAAGAATGAATGGAAGGGCCCCCAAGAGAGTTTTCCTAGGGGTTGGTCTGTTTCTCTACCCGGACAGTGGTTAATCAAGTGTGGTCAATTTTAATAATTAATTGCATGGTACACATATGATTTATTACACTTTCCTATATGCACATTGTATTGCAATAAAGAATTTGATTCAAAAAATTAAGTGAAGGAACAAAATCTTTTTCATCACATAGGGTTTGGTGTGCCAGCTGTGTTGCACTCAATATGTTAAAAGCCTGAGTTAGTGATTCAAGATGTTGCTAAGAATTACTGAATATTGAAATAAGAAACTACTTTGGATGAGTAAATATCTTGGATTGGCTCAAGTAATCATGAAAGGCATAATCCAAGTGTAAGACAGAGAAGAGTGAAAAGAAAGTAGTTTGTGAACCTAAGATCCCTGAAACTAGGTATCTAAGCAAATCTTCCCTCAGTAAGTATGAGGAACTAGGCAAGAGATGTGGCTTAATTTTTGCCAGAAGTAGGAGCTAGGCAAGCAGAAAGAACTACTGCTCCTTTGGTGTCTAGTGAAGATTCAGTCAGAAAGGTGGGGGAGGGGGGGCGGCAGATACCTAGGAAGCAAGGGAGACCTGGGCATGGAAAATGTTGGCTTTGGGTAACGTGGCTGAATTACTGAATTACCCTGAAGGGAAGAATCTTGAGGAATGACTTATTTCCTAATTGCATTTATCTTCTGTCTGCTAAATTGTGTCTTTATAAATATTCATGCTTGCTTAGTAAGAAGCTCCAAATCTTTCTGTGGTTCTATGATATGGGTTACCATCTTTGTTATAGACCATCCTCATGACGTATTTAAAAAATTCTGCTTACTGCTATGGAAAGCAGTATGGAGGATTCTCAAAAAGCTAAAAGTAGAAGTGCCATATAACCCAGTAATTCCACTTCTAGGAATTTACCCAAAGAAAATAAAATCTCTGGTTCAAAAAGATATATGTACCCTTATGTCTGTTGCCACATTTTTATAACAGTCAAGATGTGGAAGCAACCAAAGTGTCTGTCAATAGATGAATGGATAAAGAAAATGGGGTACATGTAAACAATTGAGTATTATTCAGCCATAAAAAAGAAAGAAATCCTACCATTTGCAACAACATGGGTGGACATAGAGGGTATTACACTAAGTGAAATAAGGTAGGTGGGGAAAGACAAACACCATATGATTTCACTTATTTGTGGAATCTAAAAACAAAGCAAAACAAAATGAACAAAACAGCAAAAGACTCAGACACTAAGAAGTGACCAGTGGTTTCCATGGGGGAGGGGTTGAAGTAGGTGGGTGAAATAGGTAAAGGGGATAAAGAGGCACAAAACCTAATCATAACATAAATTAATCACAGGAATGAAAGTACACCATAAAGAATAGAGTCAATAGTTCTGTAACATATTTTTATGTTGACAGACAGTAACTACACTAGTTGGGGTGAGCATTTAATAATGTATATAACTGTCGAATCACTACATTGCATACTTGAAACCCATATATAATATGGTATATCATCTATACATCAATCAAAAAATTTTGTGTAGATTTCTATAACTATCCTATGTAGGTGGAATAATCAATATCAGGGGTATCAACTCTGAATTATTAAGTATGATGATATAGACTAATGTCTTAAATGCCAGTTATGGATGGGAGGTTTTCAAAAGAGCTAGTATAAAGGAGAAACAATTGTGAAAGATGTTGGTAAACAGAAGGCATAAGATCAATATAAGAGGAGTAACAGGAAGGTGAGAGAAAATGATGTTCAAAGAGCAGCTGTACGAACTTGGTTTTCAGAGAGAGAAGCAGGTAAAAGAAGAGAGAGGATAAGTTTGAAATATTGTACTGTCTGTAGACATTCTAGATTTCCAGAAGGCAGAATGAATCAAAGACAAAACATACAGTAAGATTGATCAGACATATGGGGCACCAAAGAATAAGTAGGGAGAAATTCTCAAGATTGTTTAAAGAATAAGAAGATAAACACTGAGATGTGAGAAGTTGTGAGGATACCCCTGGATACTGCTAATGAAAGGAGAGAAGAAGAGAGTGGGCCATTTGTAAAAATGATAACCCAGCAAGATAGAAACATAATCAAACATTTGAGGAAAGAGGTATATACAGGGCCAGGGCTCTGGTTTTTAGAAGATTCATTCAGTTCCAATGTGTATACTTAACAAAAGTTGAATAAGAGGAAGTGGAGGAAACGGAAACAAAGTTACTATTGCTTTGCAAGCTTATAAGTAACGTCTCTAAGAACGCAGAAGCAATTCAGTTTAAATGGGAAAAGGACATCAGAAACCAGAAGCACCCACCCCCAAGTTGTGAAATAACATTCCTGCCAACACGTCTAGGCTAGTACTAGCTTAAAATGTTTTGCTTCATTGTCAAGTCATGTATTAGACACAAGGTTCACCTCAACCCTAACATATGAACAGGACAAACAGAATGTTCTATCACAAAGGTCATTGTAACTGCAATAGTTTGGCACAGAAAGCCTGAAGTCACATATATACGAAATGGAAGAAAGTTGCAGAATGGCATCTAGAGAAATATAAAAGCAGAGATGGGGAAGGAAAAAGAAATGCTGCAAAGGTGATCTGAAGAAATTTAAAATTACTCAAGGATGTGGTAAACACTCTTCATTAAGTTATTGGCAAAAGTCAAGGATAAGTTTCTGAATGAGAAATATGTTCCAAGTAATGGAAAGAAGGAAACGTAAGAGAATCTACAAGCAGAAATGCCTTTGCCAGCATGTAAGTAATGTCTCTAAGAACACAGATAATTCAGTTGACACGTAAAAATGGGCTGCTAATTTTCCACATTAGATATGGAAAAATAAAAAGAAATATAACAGGATGGGATAGAGGGATTATACCTAGAGGAAGTAAAATACTGATTCTTTGTTGGCTGGCACTCATTTGTCTATTTAATCCTTCAGCAAGTCTTTGTTAAGCACTCATGATGTGTCAGGCATGGTGCCTCCTGCTGATCTATGAAAATGGATGAGACATGACCATTAAGGATATACCTGACCGTTAAGAAAGCACACTTTCTTAGGGGAGAAAGAAATGTAAATAAATATACGAAATAGGGTCACTTAATTGAAGTATAATTCAGAAATTTGTCTTTGGTGTTACTTCCTTTTTAATTTATGTCTCTCTTAGGGCCTTGCACCCAGCTAGCTGTTAGAATTCTCAGGTTGGTATCTGCCGATGATGGTGTAAAGGACAGTAAACCAGAGAACTCTTTTTTTTAAGTAGGGATTTTTTTAAATAGTAAAAATAATATATGTTCATTGAAAACAATTAAGAAAACAGAAAAGGATATTAAAAAAAACAGCAATCACTCATAATCCCATTATCCAGGACAAAGTTTGCCTATGTTTTGGTGTCTAGCCATCCGCACCTTTTTCTCTGTATTTCTATCAAGTGCTCTAGTTTTCTATTTCCTTCTCTCTTTCTTTCTTTTCTTTTTTTTTACAAAAAAATGTGTATACATACTGTTTTGTTACTTGTATTCTCCACTTTATATATCATGGACCTATTCCCATGGTATTAACATAGTTCTACATTCTCTCTTTCAATGGCTGCCTATCCCATAGTGTTCCATTGTGCAGCTATATGATGGTTTATTTAACCTGAGCCCCTTCATTGAGCTCCTTGACTAGTTTTATTGGCCCTCCTCCAAGCCTGTATATTTAGAAAGCCCTCTCTGTTTGATTTTGTGAAATCAGAGAAACCTATCAGAATTAAAATAAAACAATATATTACTATTTCAAAAAGCAATTTCAGGAATATGAGAGATACAGGAAAATGAAATGGAAATGGTTGATGAAGGGTACATTTTGCAACTGTAAATGTTTTATAGTAATTACAAATGAAATGACATTTTTCAATATCTTAAAATTCTGAACTTTTCTGAAAGACTTAAAATCAAATCAGATTACAGATTAAAATCAAATCAGTGCAGGGTGAAGTATTGAAGCTTCTGCCACAGGACTCTCCACCCCAGTGTTTGTGGCTTTCTAATAAATAGTGAGACTACTGAGAGCCAGTGCTTCCCGGAAAGTTGTTTACTGGGATAATCAATCAAGTAGAGATTCCACTGACCCTGACCTCCATTGCTAAGGGAGTCAGAAGTTAGGTGTGGCTAAGGAACCCTGAAAGTGTGCAGGAATGACAACCATGACATATGAAAAGTCAGGGACTTATTTGGGCTGTACTGAGCCTGCTCAGTAGGCTGTGTTGGAGTTCTGGGACCATAGAACGGAACATGGTATCACTGGGGGTACGTGGCTGAGATTGGGAAAGAGGCCTGGGTCTGGCTGGCTCTAACACCAGGGGAAACTCCAAGCTGTGGTTTGCAGGGAGTGGTGGCTGTGGAGGTCTGCCTTGGTGTTCCAGAGGATGATGACCGTGATGATGGAGGTGGCCAGGAAGAGCAGGTAGAGGCGGAAGAGCAGGGTGTCCATCATGTGGCTGAACTGCACCCACAGGCCAACCAGATGCTGCTTCTGAGCCTTGTCTTCCTGCTGGGCCCTTCCTGACCCAGGGCATCCACTGAGCTCTGCCTCTCTGGGCCCTGGAACCTTGCCCACCAACTCCACGGGCTGTTCCACACCTATGGAGAGACAGAGACTCAGCCATGGGCTGGGAAGGTCACCCGGGGAGAGGAGGGGACAGGAAGGAGGAGGTGTTGGAAGAGGAAGTGTGGGCGGTGCAGACTTCCTTACCAGGTGGGTGGGTGGGGTGAGGCCCAGGCCCTTACTTCCCTTCTGGGGCCCAAGGGGGCAGCATTTTCCTGGGCTGGTGCAGTGGAGAAGCAGGGAATGGAGCCACCAGGGCAGGGGAGGGGGCTGGGCAGTGGCCAGGTGCAGCAGGTAGGTGATGAAGATGGTCTCTGGCAGGCTGACACCATCAGCGACAGGCACAGGGCGAAGTAGACACCTGGAGGAAAGATGGGCCTGTGTGAGGGCCAGAGGCACCACGTGGGACTTGTTTCTGTTGTTCCCAGAGGGCTCTTTGCCAGGACACTGTTCACTCTGACCTGGTTCCACTGGTCCCTCTCCCTACCCCACCCCCAACCTTGCTTTTATTCTCAGGACTGAGGGAAAGACAATACTGATGAGGGGTGTGCCAGTGGCTGGGAGTAAGTCATTCACTGTGAGCAGGAAGACGTTGTAGCCCAGCGGAAGTGTCGTCTTGAATGGGGCCCAGTTCTTGCTTTCTGCTGGCAGGTAGAAGCTGAGGGCATCAATGGCAACCAGAAAACTACTGGGCACCAGAAGGTTTATGATGTAGAGGCTGGGCCTGCACCCGATGGCCACCTGGAGGGAGGAGAGCAGAGGCAAATGAAGAACAGTCTGGGAAACTGCCAAGCCAGTTAGAGGAAGAGTTAAAGTTTGTCCCAGACCAAAGAGCCTAGTGATGACATGTGACCTCATGTCCCTCTCCCTGTCCTGTCGGTTTCCAGCAGTCATCTCAGCCACCACAGTCGGCCTTTCCAGGGCTTGATTCTGCTATGCTGCTTACCAATGACCCGCATCTCAGTCCTTCTTGGGCCAAGGTGTCAACTTTCTCCACGTCCATTTTTATCCCTACCAATGTGCTCTTAGTAGGACTGTAGCACCAGATGCTTATGTACAGTGTGCATTTCATTCTTGTATTTCTGTTTACTTTCCTCACCAAGGTCTAATCTCTAGTCACTTTGCTGGCCGACATTGAAGACAGGTGGAGGGAAAGTAAAACAGTGGCATGTACTTTGGGGTCACCAGGATTTGAAATCATAACATCTGTAAAAAAGGTGTTTTGTAACTCTTCCAGCATCTCTTTTTAAAAAATAAACATAAAAATTCCTGCTGTCCAAAAAGTTTTGATAGCCATGGGGGATGGGAAGCTCATAGTCACTGTTAATCACTGCCTAGGAGTTTTGTTTCTCCCTCAGGGAGGATTTATTCAACCAACGTTTACTGAGTGCCAGATACTGTTCTAGGTACTGGAGGTTTGTCAGTGAAAAAAGTGAGACAATCCCTGTTCTCCTGAGGCTTCCTGTCTAGTGGCAAAGCTTACATTCTAGTGGGGGACATAAGCTATGCATCTCAGGAGAAGATCTCAAACAGGGCCCCTGAGTTCACATAGAAAATGATTTGGTCATACTGGTTGGTGTCCATAGTTATCTTCCTCATTCTCTGGTGGGTACCCAGAAGTACCCACTCCTCCTTGCTCCTAATGAGGTTCCATGACGTGTTCAAAATCTCCTGCATGTCCTTCTCCATGCCCAGGACCATATTCTCCCCTGCAAAGGAGACCCAGACAACTCAGCCTCCCCACCTGCGCTCAACCCCCTTGCTCAGAATGCTGGATTCCTTGCCACTTAGCTTCCACACCCCTTTCAGGGTGATCCCCTCATAGTTTTCAGCTTTCTGTCCTCTTCTCTCCAAGAACCTTTTTCTGCCTCTCACCAAGCTACTCTAATGAGCCTCACTCACCCGTGCAGATGAAAGAGCTAAAGGTGAATGTGCAGCTCTGTTCATCAAAGGGGAAATAGAAGATGTCCAGGTTACAGATGCTGGTGACGTGCATTGGCTATCATATTCAATGCGACCTTCACTGTTGACATAAGCCATAAGCCCTGTGGGTGTCTGATTGACATCCATGCTGTATGTGAGAAGGATGGGCAGGTGGGTGCTGTGGGTTTCCCATCAGACATGGCCGCCTTTCTCTCTCAGATCACCCCATCCCTGGGCTCCAGCCACACTCACGCAGCTTCCCCACCACCATGACCCACTGCCATACTCTGGGTGTTTTGTAAGCACCTCAATTCAGATACTGCTTCCTACTAAGCTGACTCTTTGTGTGGTCCCTTTTAGTTACACCATGCTCTTCCCTTGACGAATGGTTTCTTTCTTGCTTTTTTCAGCCCTGATACTCACAACTTCTCAAGGAATATATCTGGCAGCCATAGGATCTCTGATGCCATGCTGAGCTTCCTGATGCCCCCACACTCCTCCGGGTCCCACCTGATGGATGGATTTTACCAGATCTACAGGAAACCATGGAGTGGGACAAATGGGGTGGAAACTTGTTTTAGTCTTGTTAGGTCTCCTGCACTTTACATTCCTTTTTCCTCTCATTTCTTCACCATCTCTTGGGTGACAGCTGTCACAATGTCACTAACAAAGTCTTACTTGTTTTCACTTCTCAGTGTTCTCAAGGGAGACCCTGAGAATAGCTTTAGATTCCCTGGGCTGGAGCCACTTAAATATTGGCTCCATGACCTTGGTTTATGCCACCTTCTCCTTGTGCACCATCTCTACCCTCCTAAACTCACAGAATGATCAGGAAGTCTTGTGTTTTCATTGTTGGTCCAGCTCTATAGAAACTTGTCTAATTCATGGGTATTCTTAGCTTTACCCATTGTAACCTGCAAAGTTGAACCCAGGAGTGAAGAAAGGGAGATGCTGTAGTAAAGGGAAAGTCTATCATACCACACTTAGCCACAGGAATGATGTCATCAGTTGAAGCCGTGCATCCTGGCAAAACAATTTTCATCCAGGATCATTGACTCCATGAAGTCAGGTTCAAGGCTGCCACCCACTTCTTATTCATTTACAAGGCTGTTATATGTGGTGATTATGATTTTTGATCATAAGCCACAGAAAAATGTAGGTCAAATAATCCAGGATACATGAGAAATGTAAGTGAAAGACCAGTGTGAGGGCCCACTGGGGTTATGCTTCTTGTGGATTATTCCCAAAAGGAATAGATTTTACCTACAGTGATGTCATTGAAGCATATACCAGCATGTCTCCCCACCCCATAGAATGAGCTCTTAATTTTTCAAAATCCAAGCAGGGGACCCACTGCTCAATACTAGACCATTGCCGTGCTGGGTCAGGTCTTACCACTTCCAAGATGGCAGACAGGGTGAAGGAGATGTTGACATGGGTGGGGATGCTGTTGTTGATGGCTGGACGGAAAGCCTTCTGTCAAACCCTGGAAGGCAACAGGGTCCACCCCATGCTGATCAAAGCATGAGCAATTGATGGTGAATATATTTCCTCTCCCTACAGGGAGGAGACCATATGAGAAGAATGCCAGGACTCGGGCCTGGGGAATGTTTCTGCACAAAGAGAAAACAGAAGGCATAGCAGAAGCATGTGAACTTCTCTTTGCTGGGCCAGTGATTGTGGGCAGGGATTGTGGTAGGCCAATGGTGGAAGCTGAAGAGGTGAGCTGAGTCAGGGCTCCATCCTCAATTCCATTGTTTCTGTTCCCATGCAAAACTTGTCCAAGTGTGTAGGCAAATTCAGCCGTGACCACCACTTGTCTATGTCCTGTGATGTTCTTAGCTATCTCACCACAACCTCTCTGCCTCCACTCAGCATCCTTCCACTGCTCATCTCTGTCCTTGAGCCCAGTGGGTGATGTCAGTGGCAAATTTTGCAATCATATTAATGCCACAATAACTATATTATATAAGGCACAGGTAATCATAAATTAATGATGAGGGAAATGATCGGGTAGGTCATGTGCAGTATGTGGAAACTTGAGGAATGAACTCAGTCTTTCAAGGTAATAAGAATTTATGGTGTCTCTACTATGTGATGTGATTGTTCTCTTTGAGAAAGCAGTGGATGTCACCTGTGAGACTATTGTTGTAAAGAGAGCCCCTTGATACCCATGATATACCTAACCCCCTTCTAGGTTGTACTTTGTGGAATGGAAATAGAGAATTAGATGGTAACATCTTCTGGTAGAGTCTATTTACATCTATTTCTGGTATTGTACTAATATCATATTCAATGCGACCTTCACTGTTGACATAAGCCATAAGCCCTGTGGGTGTCTGATTGACATCCATGCTGTATGTGAGAAGGATGGGCAGGTGGGTGCTGTGGGTTTCCCATCAGACATGGCCGCCTTTCTCTCTCAGATCACCCCATCCCTGGGCTCCAGCCACACTCACGCAGCTTCCCCACCACCATGACCCACTGCCATACTCTGGGTGTTTTGTAAGCACCTCAATTCAGATACTGCTTCCTACTAAGCTGACTCTTTGTGTGGTCCCTTTTAGTTACACCATGCTCTTCCCTTGACGAATGGTTTCTTTCTTGCTTTTTTCAGCCCTGATACTCACAACTTCTCAAGGAATATATCTGGCAGCCATAGGATCTCTGATGCCATGCTGAGCTTCCTGATGCCCCCACACTCCTCCGGGTCCCACCTGATGGATGGATTTTACCAGATCTACAGGAAACCATGGAGTGGGACAAATGGGGTGGAAACTTGTTTTAGTCTTGTTAGGTCTCCTGCACTTTACATTCCTTTTTCCTCTCATTTCTTCACCATCTCTTGGGTGACAGCTGTCACAATGTCACTAACAAAGTCTTACTTGTTTTCACTTCTCAGTGTTCTCAAGGGAGACCCTGAGAATAGCTTTAGATTCCCTGGGCTGGAGCCACTTAAATATTGGCTCCATGACCTTGGTTTATGCCACCTTCTCCTTGTGCACCATCTCTACCCTCCTAAACTCACAGAATGATCAGGAAGTCTTGTGTTTTCATTGTTGGTCCAGCTCTATAGAAACTTGTCTAATTCATGGGTATTCTTAGCTTTACCCATTGTAACCTGCAAAGTTGAACCCAGGAGTGAAGAAAGGGAGATGCTGTAGTAAAGGGAAAGTCTATCATACCACACTTAGCCACAGGAATGATGTCATCAGTTGAAGCCGTGCATCCTGGCAAAACAATTTTCATCCAGGATCATTGACTCCATGAAGTCAGGTTCAAGGCTGCCACCCACTTCTTATTCATTTACAAGGCTGTTATATGTGGTGATTATGATTTTTGATCATAAGCCACAGAAAAATGTAGGTCAAATAATCCAGGATACATGAGAAATGTAAGTGAAAGACCAGTGTGAGGGCCCACTGGGGTTATGCTTCTTGTGGATTATTCCCAAAAGGAATAGATTTTACCTACAGTGATGTCATTGAAGCATATACCAGCATGTCTCCCCACCCCATAGAATGAGCTCTTAATTTTTCAAAATCCAAGCAGGGGACCCACTGCTCAATACTAGACCATTGCCGTGCTGGGTCAGGTCTTACCACTTCCAAGATGGCAGACAGGGTGAAGGAGATGTTGACATGGGTGGGGATGCTGTTGTTGATGGCTGGACGGAAAGCCTTCTGTCAAACCCTGGAAGGCAACAGGGTCCACCCCATGCTGATCAAAGCATGAGCAATTGATGGTGAATATATTTCCTCTCCCTACAGGGAGGAGACCATATGAGAAGAATGCCAGGACTCGGGCCTGGGGAATGTTTCTGCACAAAGAGAAAACAGAAGGCATAGCAGAAGCATGTGAACTTCTCTTTGCTGGGCCAGTGATTGTGGGCAGGGATTGTGGTAGGCCAATGGTGGAAGCTGAAGAGGTGAGCTGAGTCAGGGCTCCATCCTCAATTCCATTGTTTCTGTTCCCATGCAAAACTTGTCCAAGTGTGTAGGCAAATTCAGCCGTGACCACCACTTGTCTATGTCCTGTGATGTTCTTAGCTATCTCACCACAACCTCTCTGCCTCCACTCAGCATCCTTCCACTGCTCATCTCTGTCCTTGAGCCCAGTGGGTGATGTCAGTGGCAAATTTTGCAATCATATTAATGCCACAATAACTATATTATATAAGGCACAGGTAATCATAAATTAATGATGAGGGAAATGATCGGGTAGGTCATGTGCAGTATGTGGAAACTTGAGGAATGAACTCAGTCTTTCAAGGTAATAAGAATTTATGGTGTCTCTACTATGTGATGTGATTGTTCTCTTTGAGAAAGCAGTGGATGTCACCTGTGAGACTATTGTTGTAAAGAGAGCCCCTTGATACCCATGATATACCTAACCCCCTTCTAGGTTGTACTTTGTGGAATGGAAATAGAGAATTAGATGGTAACATCTTCTGGTAGAGTCTATTTACATCTATTTCTGGTATTGTACTAAACCGCATTGCTCATATTCGATAATGAATGAGAAAATAAGCTAATTGGAAAAATTGTACTAAAAAAGTTTCCCTTTCACTACAGATCTTCTTATCCACTTTCTTCCCCTTAGCATTTTCCCTGTTCCATTTAATTTGCTTCAAGAGAACTGAGAGAAAATTTTCTTCTTCTTAAGATCAGTTGATACTGAGAAATCATGAGGATAAATTATATGCCTGGAAAGAGAAAGAACATGGGGAAAGAGATGAGGCCAATAGAAGCATGGGGAGAGAAGGAGCTGAGAAAAAGGTACAAAACTGTTGATATCATGAGTTTCCATCTTTACTAAAATGAAAATACAGGCATTGGCTATCTAGGAGAAGCAAAAATTAGCCTGTTTTCTGTTTCCTAGAAGTTATATGTCTGCTTCCCTTTTGCTTTTGTCCTATCTTACCTTGAAGCAGCAGGTGGAGAATGAGGCAGAGCAAGAATTCTTCCCCATGGAACCAACCTCTTTCCATCTTCCTCTCTTTGTCTCTTCTCTAGGGGCTCAGTGGTGATGTTGATCTTAAAAGACCAAGGCCACACCTCAAGCCCTAGCTTTGAATAATACAAATATCAGGTGGCATTAGCCACCTCTCTAACAAGCACCCTTGGTGACAAGAGAATGTCACAGAAGACTACCCCACCCTGTGCCCTAACTGGGCCTGAATCTAGTTCCCAAAAATAATCTGGCAAATCAGTTTGGTGAAGAGGAAGAAAACATTTGGTCACTAGAGCAGTGCTAATGGCTTCCTCATCCTTTAGAGTCATTCTGGCATATGATGCATACAAAAGGCACATGATGACTGCCATTGCCTTAAAGCGGTACAGGCACTTACTTTGACCCTGCTGCCATCTTTCCAAAAAAAATTGGGGGTCCCCTTTTTTATAATCAACTTCAGAGTCTAAGGTTTTAAACATGACTTCAGTACTGGCAATTCTTAACTTTCTGAGTGTGTCAAAAGCAATTTGGGTATAACAACAATGCAAAACTGAAGGAACAAAACAGCAGCAGACTCACAGACTGCAAGAAGGGACTAGCGGTTACCAAAGGGGAGGGGTGGGAGAGGGCAGGTTGGGAACGAGAGAGAAGGTAATAACTGAGGGTATTATGATTGGTACACATGGTGTGGGGGAGTCTAGGGGAAGACAGTGTAGCACAGAGAAGACAAGTAGTGACTGTGGCTTCTTACTTTACTGATGGACAGTGACCGCAATGGGGCGTTGGGGGGGACTTGATAATATGAGTGAATGTAGTAACCACAATGTTTTTCATGTGAAGCCTTCATAAGAGTATATATATCAATGATACCTCAATAAAAAAAAAGCAATTTGGACCCAGATCTGCTGGATGGGGGGAGTGATAGTGGGAGCAGGGTGGCAGAGGTAACACTGTTTATAGTAGAAGCTGACTTACGAGAACATGAGCCATCAGCCTGCTCTCATGTTCTCAGATCCATGTTGTTTTGGTCCTGCTAGTGTTTTTAAGATATTTGTTGTTTAAGAAATTAGTTGTCAACATTTTAAAAATTGGGAGATTTCACATAAAAACTGTGATTCTGGCTTCATTTGAAAAATAAGATTAAGCAATAGTGGGCTCACACTTCTGCTTGACTGAAGTCTGCCAATGCCAATGGCTATGCCCTCTAGATGGGGCACATTCTCTCTAGATCATCAGAGTCTCTTGTCATCAACTATAGGTTATTCTTGCCCAGCTCCTATAATTTATGTTAACGGCTTGGTCTTTGTAGACATCTGAGTTTGCCTTTGAATGTTAAGATTGATTTTCTGTGTGATTCTTAAAGAGCCTTGGGAAGTAATTACAAAATGTCATGCCATGCCTAAGAGATCACAGGTCTTGTCAGATTTAGAGTGTGCAAATATTTGATTCATGATGGGAACCAGATACAGTATCGTTAAGTGGGCAAAAGTCATCAGTGGTTCAACCTATGGTATTCTAGAATTATTTCTATTAGGGAAGGCTCCATAGAGGGTAATGAGAGGGTAGGAGAACAAAGGGACATCAGTTGCTTCACTGAAGAAGCTTTACAGACTGAGTGGGTATAATTCAGTAAAAGAGGTCTAAAAAAGGTATCTAAAACCTTTGTTTCTGCTAGACTCATGTCACTCTCTCTCAGCCTCAGTTTCTTTATCTCTAATATTGGAAGGATAAAACCTATATTGTGGGGGTTTTATGTGGTTAGAGAGAATGTTTGTATAGTGCCTCTCCCATCCTAAGCCACTAATAACAGTAAAAATGGCAGTAATAGTAGACATTACTGCTATCCTGGCTGTCTTGAGATTCTCAGGTTGCTTTAGTCTGAATGGCATCTTTTGGACTTAAAATGTCTGGCTTGACTGAAGCAACCCTAGTTCTTGAGCATCAGAGACTTTTCTCTTAGCTTCACTCAGCTAGATTCTGATGCAGGTCACCCCTCACTCTCCTCAGCATTGCTCATCATTTGAAAATCCCTTCCCCTGTGGGAACTTGTTTTGGTTTGGTTTGGTTTGTTTTAAAGGATGACTTTAGATCAGCATTACTCAAAGCATTTTCTGTGGAATACTGGTTCTGCAGGATATTAAATGCTTTCCTAACAAATTATTTTTGTTATTTCAAGTTAATTAAGTCTGAGAAATGTTGAATTAAACAAGATTAAACAGGTCTCATTTTTGTAGGATTTCTCAGAGTATTTAGCTAAAATGTTAATGTGAATTGAATATCACATATAAATAGTCTCCCATACTTACCTGACTTTGGAAATTTTTTTTCTCAGAATATTGCAGGGCTATCTTCCAAAAATAATCCATTGATTATTTTTTGGAAACACTGCTTTAGATAAATAGAATAAATCTAGAAGAAAAAACTTGAAAAATTTGTCTGAGACATGCCACAGAGAGAATATAGAATGCCAACAGCATATGTATAAGAAAATCAAGAAATCAAAAAAATAAACCAGGTAAGTATTTTTTAGATAAGCATTTTAAAACCTAAAGTTTGATTAAAATGATATGAACCTACAAGCAAATAGAAAGCAACATAGATATAAATTTCAAGCTATTTCTGAATCCCTGAGTCTTATAAACTTAGACTTACTCTAAGAGGGGATTCTCAAGATGGTGGTGAGAGTAGGGTGGCAGAAATCTCCTCCCAAAACCATATATATTTTGAAAATACAGCATTCCTAAAAGAGTGACCAGAAGATACAGTACAAAAGCCAGGCTACATCTGTGAGAACCTAACGTCTCACGGAAAAGGGTAGGATACAAAGCTGTGACCTGGTGGGGCTCAAGCACTCAGCCCACCCCAGCTCACTGGCGGGAGGAAGGGAATCAGAGTGGGGTGGGAGTGGAAGCACAGGACCGCTAAATAACCAGCCCTGGTGGTCTGCCCTGGGAGCACAGGCACACATTGCATGGCGCACTGGATATTGGAGGAGCGGAAAAGCAAGGTCTGAGATTCAGACTGCGAACAGGTTCCCACAGCCGGCTGCCCTGGTACAAAAGAAAAGCAGGCGCTTTTAAAGTCTTAAAGGGACAGGGTTTAACAGGTGGACAAAATCGTCCTGGCACACTCAGCCCAGCAGGCTGGGAACTTTAAGGAACTTCACGTGCCCTAACACCCTGGGTGGCAATGCAGCTTTGAAGACCCTCCGGGCAATAAGTAGCCTGCCGTTCCTTGCCCCCCACCAGCACTGCAAGAAAACCAGCTGACCCACCACTGCTGCAGAACAGCCGGGGAGCAGTCCCACCTATAGCAACCACATAGCTTAGCACAGAGGCTTCTCCCTGCACGCAGCTAACGGCCCAGACTCAGAGGCTGCTCCCTGCGTGCAGTTGACCAGCACAGACAGTGGAGACAGGTGCAGAGTCTGGGAAGCACGAAGGGGCTTTCTTCTTGTGGCATAACATGTGCTGCTCACCTGCAACCCCCGCCAGAGAATTAAACAGAGAAGTAGAATGCAATGCATTCATTTTAGAGGACTTCAACACACCACTCACTCCAAAGGACAGATCAACCAGACAGAAAATAAGTACGCAGAGGCACTGAACAACACATAAGAACAGATGGACCTAACAAACATCTACAGAACTCTCCACCCAAAAGCAACAGGATACACATTCTTTTCAAGTGCACATGGAACATTTTGCAGAATAGACCACATACTAGGCCACAAAAAGAGCCTCAGTAAAATAAAAAAGATTGAAATTGTACCACCAACTTCTCAGATCACAAAGATATAAAACTAGAAATAAATTGTATAAAGAAAACAAAAAGGTTCACAAACACATGGAGGCTTAACAACATGCTCCTAAATAATCAATGACCAAATTAAAACAGAGATCAAGCACTATATGGAGACAAATGAAAACAACAGCATAACACCCCAACTTCTGTGGGATGCAGCAAAGGCAGTTTTAAGAGGAGAGTATATAGCAATCCAGGCCTATGTAAAGAAGGAAGAACAATCCCAAATGAATAGTCTAAATTCACAATTATTGAAACTGGAAAGAGAACAAGAAATGAGTCACAAAGTCAGCAGAAGGAGGGACATAATAAAGACCAAAGAATAAATAAATAAAATTGAGAAGAATAAAACAATAGAAAAAAATTAATGAAACTAAGAGATGGTTCTTTGAGAAAATAAACAAAATAGATAAGCCCCTAGCCAGACTTTTTAAGGGAAAAAGAGAATCTTCACACACAATCAGAACCAGAAATGAGAAAGAAAAATCACAATGGACACCACAGAAATACAAAGAATTATTAGAGAATACTATGAAAATCTATATGCTAACAAACTGGATATCTTAGAAGAAATGGAAACTTTCTGAAAAAATACAACCTTCCAAGTCTGACCAAGGAAGAAACAGAAAATCTAAACAGACCAATCACCAGCAGCAAAATTGAATTGGTAATCAAAAAACTACCCAAGAACAAAACTCCCAGACCAGATGGATTCACCACTGAATTTCGTCAGACATATAGAGAAGACCTAATACCAATTCTCCTTAAAGTTTTCCAAAAAATAGAAGAGGAGAGAATACTTTCAAACTCATTCTATGAAGCCAGCATTACTCTAATACCAAAACCAGGCAAAGACACCACAAAAAAAGAAAACTGCAGACCAATATCCCTGATGAATATAGATGCAAAAATACTCAACAAAATATTAGCAAACCAAATTCAAAAATACATCTAGAGGATCATACACCATGACCAAGTGGGATTCATCTCAGGGATGCAATGATGGCACAACATTCGAAAATCCATCAGCATAATCCACCACATTGACAAAAAGGAAGAAACCACATGATCATTTCCATAGATGCCGAAAAAGCATTTGACAAAATTCAACATCCATTCATGATAAAAACTCTCAACAAAATGGGTATAGAGGGCAAGTACCTAAACATAATAAAGGCACATATGACAAACCCACAGCCAACATCATACTTAATAGCGAGAAGCTGAAAACTTTTCCTCTAATATTGGGAACAAGACAAGGATGTCCACTCTCCCTGCTTTAATTCAACATAGTATTGGAGGTCCTAGCCACAGCAATCAGACAACACAAAGAAATAAAAGGCATCCAGATTGGTAAGGAAGAAGTTAAACTGTCACTGTTTTCAGATGACATGATATTGTACACAACAAACCCTAAAGAATCCACCCCA